GTCTAACGAGTCTCTGAAAGATCAATCAGGGTCTAACGAGTCTCTGAAAGATCAATCAGGGTCTAACGAGTCTCTAAAAGATCAATCCGAGTCTAACGAGTATCTAAAAGATCAATCGGGGTCTAACGAGTCTCTAAAAGATCATTCCGAGTCTAACGAGTCTCTAAAAGATCAATCAGGGTCTAACGAGTTACTAAAAGATCAATCAGGGTCTAACGAGTCTCTAAAAGATCAGTCCGGGTCTAACGAGTCTCTAAAAGATCAATCAGGGTCTAACGAGTCTCTAAAAGATCAATCAGGGTCTAACGAGTTACTAAAAGATCAATCAGGGTCTAACGAGTCTCTAAAAGATCAATCAGGGTCTAACGAGTCTCTAAAAGATCAATCCGGGTCAGGATGTGTAAAGTTTTAATTTTGTTGTGTTTATAAATGAATGGGGAGAAAAAAATATATTTTTTTTGTTTTTTGTGCTGGGTGCAAATGTTAAGAATTTAAAAACCAGAGGTCAGCACTGTGCTTAGTCTGTAGCACTTTCTAACATAAGATTTAAAGCTGCCTTCCAATAAAAGTGTTAGTTTACTAGCTACACATTACCTTGGTTTGGAATAATGGAATTGGTATAGATTATGCTACCTGACAAATACGTCAAAGTGTTGTTTGTTTTTAGAGTTATGGTGATAGAGTAAATCACAAGGTTACCGATTTGCTAGTCACATGATTATAGGTTTTTTTGAAATAATGTTCTCAGGTTATTTTATTGAAGAAAATCTGTTGTAGCCAATAAAATAAAATAACTTTCCGCTAATTATAATTGTATCTGTTACAGAACTTTATTCGCCGCTGCCTGCAGTACCGGAAAGAAGATCGAATTGATGTTTTCACTTTGTCTGAGAATGAGTATTTAAAACCTAATTATGGGAAACACAGTCGACAGTCCAGCTCTGTAGAAAAATCATAGCACTCTGACTATGCTGTATGTAATATAGCAACTGTGTATTATGTTCTCGTTCACCAGGCAGACTCAGAGTGACTCTAGTGATCTGAAATGCAAGTTCAAGCGTGACAACTGATGTTCGTTGTTTTCTTAATTGACATGAACAATGTTGAAGCTTGACCACTCTAAAGAAATGGGTACTGAACTCGCAATAATGAAAGATGAGTATAAATAAGAAAACAATTGTTATCACAAGACCTTCACCATTTTATAATAGTTATTAAACATTGCAAAGCCAATGAATTTTCCAAGTTCCCAAAACTGTGACAAAACAAAAAATTAGTGCTGTATTATAAGTACTGTACAAAAAAACAAAGAAATTAAGTTGTTATCAGGTTGAAAAAAAAAAATTCAGATTGTACAGCGCATATTTTATGGATGAAAGAAGTGCTTGTGTCATGATTATATCTATAAAGTTCAAGGTTTTTTGGTTCTCATGAAAACAGTTGCGTTTCTTGGAGGTGCAATGCTCACAATATTGGAAGTAAGACCTATCAAACTAGCATTGTATTGTACAAAAAGTGTTTCGATTCATCTGATTGTTCTAAAGCATATATATATTGTAGTCATCATTCTCATGAACACTTGTTATGCTACTTGACATTAACTGTTTTATTGAGTTTTGTTTTATTATTCACTCGTGTCGCAAAAAAATGTATTTCTATTTTTGTCGATTTTTTGCACCACCCTCTAATGTTTTACTTTACACTTTATATATATTAAGTCCTAGTTTTCTAGTTCAAATCATTGTTCTGAGTGACTGTAATTTGTGCTTCATCAGTTTTACCATCAAACAGATTTCATAAACTGTTATTACAGAATAGAATATGTGTGTGGATATCTCCATTTTTCTCTAAAACACCTTCAATACTTGATCTATAAACAGGAGTTAAAATTCTGTCTTTTATAACGGGTAATGGCAAAGTTTCAAAGACTGGTCCAAACCAACCCAAGGGTTTTAAAATTGATGCTTGATCTATAAACAGGAGTTAAAATTCTGTCTTTTATAATGGGTAATGGCAAAGTTTCAAAGACTGGTCCAAACCAACCCAAGGGTTTCAAAATCAATACTTAATCCAGAATCAAGAGTTAAAATTCTGTCTTTTATAACGGGTAATGGCAAAGTTTCAAAGACTGCTCCAAACCAACCCAAGGGTTTTAAAATTGATACTTGATCTATAAACAGGAGTTAAAATTTTGTATTTTATAACGGGGGATTTTGAAACCCTTGGGTTGGTTTGGACCAGTCTTTGAAACTTTGCCATTAAGTACTTAATCCAGAACCAAGAGTTAAAATTCTGTCTTTTATAACGGGTAATGGCAAAGTTTCAAAGACTGGTCCAAACCAACCCAAGGGTTTCAAAATCAATACTTAATCCAGAACCAAGAGTTAAAATTCTGTCTTTTATAACGGGTAATGGCAAAATTTCAAAGACTGGTCCAAACCAACACCAGGGTTTTAAAATCAATATTTAATGTACAATCAAGAGATAATGGGCAATGTTTCCATAATTAATCAATCAAAACCAACCCGAAGGAATTAAAAAAAGCATTGAAACCACTAAGTTAGAATAAAAAGTGACTTTTTATTTATACAGACTTTAACCACTTTGTCTTCACAATAAATTGTAATATGCTTTAGTTTGTAAATTTGACGTTGAGTACTAATAAATATACAAAAGTTGCCCTTATTAATCTTCTGAAGAGGATTTCAAAACCACTAGATGGTATATTAATAATTTTATAAAACATGGAGATTTAGACAAAGATCAAGGATATTTCCAGCAACTGATAGTTTAGTTACGATATCCCAGACAGAATTTTAAGCTCAGACCAATAAAAAACAACAAAATATTCCTTTTAATCTTTTTCTGATAAGCCAGTTAATGTTTTACAAGGTATCTAAAATAAGAACATCGACAATTATGGAGTTAACTCTTTCGAAGTTACTCTTTGTTATGGTTTCGACATAGGCTTATAGTAGCCATAGTAAAGCCCATAAAAAGGTGAGCAGTTTTTTATAAACAAACTTCAAATAGGTAAATGAAGTATTCAGAATGTTAAAAATGCTTAAAAGACACCTAAGGATTTAATAAAAATAACTGCTCTTAGTATGTTTAGTTCCTTAGTTGTAGGTTAGGCATGTGACAGATTGACCCAAATTTATATATTTTTACTTTTTTAATGTTAAACTACAGAAACTGTTGGCACATTTCCCTACCAATGTGCTTTTAGAATGTGTAGTTTTCTGAACTTTCCTCTGTACACTCTAACTTTAATTCATTCAGTCAGTTTAAGAACAGTAATAAACCTGTAAACATCAGTTTCATTATACTTTTATTTATGTGACTTATACAAATCTAGTTTGTAACACTGTTTAAAAATTAAACTTTTAAAATATGAACACTTCTTATAATATGTTAACATTGTAATACTTTAATTCTAGTTGGAAGGGCTCTAGTAGTTAGCATGTTGGGCTGTGGAACAAAAGCTCTAAGCTTTTAGACAGCTGAACACATTGATGGGAAGGGCTCTAGTAGTTAGCATGTTGGGCTGTGGAACAAAAGCTCTAAGCTTTTAGACAGCTGAACACATTGATGGGAAGGGCTCTAGTAGTTAGCATGTTGGGCTGTGGAACAAAAGGTCTAAGGTTTTAGACAGTTGAACACATTGATGGGAAGGGCTCTAGTAGTTAGCATGTTGGGCTGTGGAAAAAAAGATTAAGGTTTTAGACAGCTGAACACATTGTCAGAGAGAAAGTCGATCCTGTTGTTTGTTTCAGAGACTGATATATTGGTGGGTGCTGCTAACCTGATATTTTCTCCCACGTCTACATAAAATGTAATTCAGGTTGAAATTTTCTCTTCTAAGTGAGACAATTTTTTATTTCTTACACTTGGATTCAAGTGTCCAAAACATCTTGTTTGATATTTAAATTGTATTTTTGAAATACTGTTGTACATATTGAATGTTTCGACTCATAAATCATAGTTTATGTATGTTTATATTAAGAAAAAGCACAAGCGTACATTTACTTTTTTGGCTGAAAGATTTAAGGGACTTTGTGAAATATTTTTTACTTGAAAACATCATTTGTTTACTGTGACCTTTTATGGTTTACACTGACAGTGAATGATATCTTCCACAGAAAATCACTATGTCTATTTTACAAATAGGGAAATAAGATTTAAATAATTGCTGACAACCATTTTTTAAACCTTGTTGTTAAGGCAAAGTGAACAATACAGACAGACTTTAAGGTGAGATCTTTTCCAATTTTTGTATATGACCATTTATTTTACAAAATATTTACGTTTCATGTTGTTTCTACTCGGAAAAAACTTGTAAATTATATCAACTTTTCAACTTGTTTCTACTTGGACCAACAATGTTGAATAATATATTGTTACGTCTCTGTTCGTTAGTTAATTTTCCATAAATTCGTTCCGACGAAACTTTAGCGACACAAGTCCTTTCTTAAATAAAACTGGTTTATTCTTTCCGAATACAACTTTACGATACACTTAATTTCAACAGTCGCTCTTTAACAAACGCTATAACTCACGCCTCACGAGCTCGACTTCAACAATACTCCGTTCAATTACACACTCTCTGACTGCAGTTCAATTACTCATTACACTGTTGTTCCGTCACGTTGTGAACGTCTTATATATATACAAGACTAACACATATCTAGTAAATGCTAGGGCATTCTTGAAGAAACAGGATATTTCTAGAAAACAGGTGGCGTGATATTAGTCACGTGACCTCGCTGACGCAACAATATCAACTTTTCAATCTGTTTCTATTTGGGCCAACAAAGGTGTATAATATATCAACTTTTCTACATGGACCAACCCTATTGTACAAATATCAACTTTTAAAATTGTTTCTACTTAGAACAACACTGTTGTAAAATAAATTGACTTTTCTAGTTGTTTGTGCTTGGAACAACAGAGATAATACACTTACCAAGTTTTACAGCACAAACAAATGTTTCGTTTCTTAGAAATAAAGATAACAATCTATTAACTACAACAACTTCATACGTTTGTAGGACAAACATCAAGTATATTCTGTAAAATGCTACTTCCCACAAGGGGGAGCTAGAAATGACTAATTAGTGGTCTATTATGCCACATCTTTTGTGGGTATATTTTATGAAAGCACTGATTAAAAGCAATATTTTGTTTGGTAAGTCCAAGGAAAGTAAAGCTCGAATGTTTTTCTCAATATATTAGACCACACATAAAGCATGTACAGTTCTTATCATTCCAGAAGGACACCTCTATCACAGTAAATATATTGTTACGACAGCGGAAGTCACGTGACTCTATTAAACACGTCATAAATTCTAGAAAAATCATGCCCCTTCGTGAACCCTCGAGTGTTTACTAGATGTACAGTATTCTTGTATATAAGACCGCCAAACAAGTGACGGCAACAAGGCAGTTGAATTGCAGATAGAGATAGAGACGGACAGTTGGGTCGAGCGCGTTTGTCGTTCGTTGTGAATTATAGCGTTTGTTCAAGTTATAGCGTGACCGTGGAAATTAAGTGTATTACAAAGTTGTATTGAGAAAGAATAAATTAGTTTTATTTGTACTTGTATCGCTAAAGTTTCTTCGGAAAGAATTTTTACGGAAAATTAACAAACGAACAGAGACGTAACAATATACACAACATAGTGGTATAAGTTTCTATAGCAACTTCATATAAATTACAAGTGATCAGTAGTGACGTTACAAGCAACCAGCCCTCTTGGTGGCTCAGCAGCATGTTTGAAAGCTTATAACATTAGATATTGGATTTAGGTAACAGCGGTGAACAGAGTATAAGTAGGTCATTGTGTAGTTTTGCACTTAACAAACAAGTATCCAGAACTAATTATGAAGGTATTGTGTACTTATTTATTCTTAAACTCCATATAGTAGTGTTATCAATTGTGTCCTTTAAAATTATAATATTGTTGCGTCATCGAGGTCACGTAACTGGTGTGGCGCCACCTATTTTCTAGAACTATCCTGTACCTTGGCGAATGCTCTAGTAGTTACTAGATATAGGGTAGTCTGGTATATAAAAGAGTGTGACAACGTGACGGGGGAAGAATGTGTGTGTAGGTAGTGAGTAATTGAACTGCAGTCACAGGGTATTGTTGAAGTTAACGTTCGTTCGTTATAGTGTTTGTTTTAGCGCGAATATTGAAATTAAGTGTATCATAAAGTTATATTCGGAAAGAATAAATCAGTTTTATTAAGTAAGGACTTGTGTCGTTAAAGTTTCGTCGGAACGAAGTTACGGAAAAATCAATTAACAAACGGAGACGTAACAAATTGGTGTCAGAAGTGGGATGAAAAAAAATGGAAACGAGAGGCGGAAAATCAAACTACAACTTAGCAGACTTGATGGCAGCAATACAAGAGCAGCAAAAGAAACAAGAAGAACGAGAAAATGAACGAGAAAAAAAACAAGAAGAACGAGAAATTAAACAAGAAGAGAGATTACAGCAGTTGTTGGAGGAAAAAGAAAAGAAACAAGAAGAAAGATTACAGCAGTGGCAAGAAACCTACAACAATGCCAGCTCGAACAGCAAAATAAACAAGAGAGATTACAGCAGTTGTTGGAGGAAAAAGAAAAGAAACAAGAAGAACGAGAAATTAAACAAGAAGAGAGATTACAGCAGTTGTTGGAGGAAAAAGAAAAGAAACAAGAAGAACGAGAAATTACAGCAGTTGTTAAAGGAAAAAGAAAAGAAACAAGAAGAGA